GCACATGCTATCAGTCTACATCCTCCAGCTTCTCAGTATCCAACTCCGCTGCCGCCTCCCTGGAAGCAATGCGGCCCAACTCCGCACACGCTTCATCCGCACACGTGTTCATGGCCCAGAAAAGGCTTGTACGTGTAGAGGACAAGTATATATATGGAAAAAACCCACACAGCTGCGGCAAGCACGCAGGCGTTTGTGGCACACAACTTGGAGTTCGTGTAGCACAAGTACAAGCCTCACAGTACAAAAGATGCATGCGGCGCAAGTGTCCTGTGTACAATCCAATGGCTGCGCGCAGGGCAAGTGTACAAAAAGGCAGAGAACTGTTGCACACAAGTTTGTACCTCTGTGACAGCTTGTACTTTGCAGCTCTTGCTTGCTTTGCGGCCTGTGACAAAAACAGTGTCTGGGCTTTCTAAACTTTGGGCCGTGGTTCCTATATACAATGGGTGTGCGTCGCAAAATCTCTGACAATTTTCTCAAGCTCTCACACTTCAGGGCTTCGCAGCCACACATCCTCCCGCCACGCTGCGCATATAAACAAACACGAGAGAAGCACAAATAATGGCGCGCTTGCTGCGCTGTTCTATGCAAAAACAAGTGGTGCAACAAGGTGTTTATATGCATTTGCGTGATTTAGACTCGCAGTTTAGACGCGCTATTTAGACTACAAATTTAGACTCGGCGCAGCTTTGTAGTCTAAATTTCCGCGAGGCTATTTTTAGACTCAAAGGATCTTTCAGGTAACGGAAAAGTTAGACAGATGGCAGCTCGTCCGTCAATAACCGCACTGGCCGGTTTGTGCCCAAGTCACGTTGAGCTGGTCCTAGAAACAAGGCCGTCGGTGCCCCTCAACCGGTCGGACCTGGGGCCCTGTCCAGTGTCCTGAAACACGGGTGCCAGTCCGGAAAGGTGTCTGGAGCGGTTTGAGGTGGCACCAGAGCAGTTTGAAGTGGGACCCGATACCAGCGGTCACACCAGGCCCGGGACCGGCTTCAGGACTGAACAGATGTTGAAGTCTCTCACTTGCACTGCATGTCTGATCTCAGAGCCGGAGCTGCCAAAACTGCAGTTGCACTGAAAAGTTGCGGTTTCCCAGCCGGAGCTGGTCGCAGTGCACCACGACACTTGAACTCAACGTTTGCCCGCGTAAGTTGAAGCCGACTTAAGCAAGAGCGGCGAGGCTGGTCCCAGGCCCGTGCGGCAATTAACGGACGAGCTGCCATCTTTCCGACGTGTCCGTCAATCCGCGTAAGGCCGGTTTGCGCCGCCCAAGGCGCGTCAGCAGGAGTTAAGCCCGGGCCCCGGCCGGGACTGGCCAGGACAGGTCCCAGGATAGGTCCTAGCACCGGTCCCAGGACCGGTCCCAGGACTCATAGATTCCAATCACTTCCAGTTGCATCCCACGCCGGTCCCCTCTGCAAGAGGCTGGGACGGGAGGCAGAGGGTCGGCGGATTTGAAGCTTCATTCAGACAGTCTTATAAGCAGCCAGGTGAGCTTCAAAAGGAGCTTTGCAAGCAGCTGTGTAAGGAATTGCGATCCTTGTATGGAGCTGCATAAGGAGCTTCAAAACGAGTTTGACAAGAAGCTTTGCAGGAGCCTTATGAGGAGTATTGTACAACGAGCCTTAAAAGGGGCCTTTAAAAGGAGCTGTATCAGGAGCCTTCATGAAGGGGCCCGTCCGTTCATTGTGGCTCCGAGATGGCTTTTTCATGGCAGTACCAAACCTGCCCAAACCACGGGTATGTCAAAAAGACAAGAAAATCGTGGGAAAACCACAATACAAAACACTACACCAGCAAAAAGCCAAATAGCATACCACGGCTACGAACCATGACGCAGCATTCTAGTGGCTCCACCTGCATCATGATGATGATGACAGCACCATGATGATGCTGGCAGCATCATGGTGATACACCAGCCACGAATCTTTACGCGCAAGCAGCGCTACATGTAAGGCAGAGACGACATCCTGGCGAGTTCGACCGCATCATGATGGTGCGAAGGCATCAAGATGATGCAGCCAGCGACATGATGACACAGCCACGAATCATGTTGCGACATTGTAGTGAAATTCAGCATCTACATAATCTGCGAACCATAACGCAGCATCGAAAATGATTCCAGCAGAATCCTGGTATGGTGGGTATGATCATGATGCTGCACCAGCCACGAAGAGTTACGACGACGTCCTACTGCGTTCAACAACATCATGATTACGCGCTCAATCTCGACAGAACGCGCCCTCAAAGTACCCCGAAACAGCACCTGCACCAGCGCCTCAAACTGCACGCGCTCTAGCACCCTGCCGTCAACCCACAACAATGCATCCACACCGTCATCAGCGCCTCCGACAGCACCTGCACCAGCGCCCCAAGCTGCATGCCACCTAGCCCGCCGTCTATCTCGCAACATTGCCCCCACACCAATAACAACAGCTACCCCAAACAGCGCCCCAAAGCAGCCACCCGCGCCAGCACGCCAAACTGCATTTGTTTTCCTGGCCGTCAATCTCGGAAAATGCGCCCACACCACCAACAGCAGCTACCCGCCAGCACCCCAAACTGCATGCCCTCTAGCACCCTGCCGTCAATCTAGCCAAATGTGCCCCACACCGTCACCAGCACTTCAAACAGCACCTGCGCCAGCACCCTAAACTGCAGCATGCCCTAGCACCCGGTCGTCAATCGCAAAAATGCCGCGCCGCCACCAGCACCTCAAACAGCGGCGCCCCAAACTGCATGCCCCCCAGCACCCGGCAGTCAATCTCGCAAATCACTTTCCCCTCTTTACTAGAAGTTAGAACCCCTATAACTCCCAGCTATCTTGGGAAAAACTCGAGAAACCAAACAACCGCCCAGAGGAGAAGTGTTGATTTTTGCGACAAGGTTTTGTTCTTCGTGGTTGTCCCATGTTCTCTTGGTTTGGTTGTTGCGGCGCAAAAAGAACTTTTAATTAATTATCTTACTGCCTTGCCAATATAAGTACGCCTATATCTTTTTAGTGTTTATTGATTTAAGGTGTTTAGTAATCAAATCCGCCGACCCTCTGCCTCCCGTCCCAGCCTCTTGCAGAGGGGACTGGGACCAGTTCTGGGACGGGTCTCGGGACCGGTCCTGGGACTGGTCCTGGAACCGGTCCTGGAGCCAGTCCCAGGACCGGGGCCCGGTTTCGTTCTGGCACTGGTCCCAGACCGGTCCCAGGTCCGGTCCTGGGTCCAGTCCTCGGTGCTGGGACCGGTCCTGGGACCGGTGCTAGGACCTATCCTGGGACCTGTCCTGGCCAGTCCCGGCCGGGGCCCGGGCTTAACTCCTGCTGACGCGCCTTGGGCGGCGCAAGCCGGCCTTACGCGGATTAACGGACACGTCGGAAAGATGGCAGCTCGTCCGTTAATTGCCGCACGGGCTCCTGGGACCAGCCTCGCCGCTCTTGCTCAAGTCGGCTACAACTTACGCGGGCAAACGTTGAGTTCAAGTGTCGTGGTGCTCCGGCTGGGAAACCGCAACTTTTCAGTGCAACTGCAGTTTTGGCAGCTCCGGCTCTGAGATCAGACATGCAGTGCAAGTGAGAGACTTCAACATCTGTTCAGTCCTGAAGCCGGTCCCGGGCCTGGTGTGACCGCTGGTATCGGGTCCCACTTCAAACTGCTCTGGTGCCACCTCAAACCGCTCCAGACACCTTTCCGGACTAGTGCCACTAGGACCAGCTCAACGTGACTTGGGCACAAACCGGCCAGTGCGGTTATTGACGGACGAGCTGCCATCTGTCTAACTTTTCCGTTAATCCTTGCGGTAGTAGAGGATCCCTGGATCTATTCTGCAAGAGAGTCCAATACATCGAGTCAAACCGCGCCAGACTGGGACCAGCCTGTCCCGCTCCCTGCCGGCGACCGGTCCAGGGCAACTTCGGAAGGGCCAGTTTCAGGGCAACCCCAAAAAAGGCGACTGCTCCCGGGCCAACTCGAAGTGACTTGGGCGCAAGCCGGCCCAAGCGGTAGTTAACGGACTAGCTGCCATATTTCTGACTTTTCCGTTAATCCTTGCTTGTGGTCGTAGAGGATCTTATAAGTGGTCCCTGGGTTTGCGGACGTGTTTCAGGACCGGTCCTTGTGACTTTTCCCTTAATGCGCCGAGGGTCGGCGGCAGCAGGCGGGAGCCTGGTTAATAAAGTAGCTCGATTTGGCTATGGAAGTACAATATATCATATATCCACGAATAAAAAAATACCTTTGAAATAAACTTAATACCGCGCCACATTTCATTGTCAATTGCAGCGGGTTGTGGAATGACGGAGGTATGTTGGACTAGACTAACATAAACGCCCATGTGTTGCCGCAACACCCATGTGTTGTCACAACACATGCACGTGCACCACGTGCACCACGTGCACAGCCACCCAATTATAAAAACACGTGCGAGATCCATGGCACCATGTATGTGTTGTTGCATATATGCTCTATCCCTCCAAACAACAACCAAAAGTACAATAACTAGGGTCCTCATGAAGAAGGGCCTCAAACCAGAAAACCAACAAAAACAAGGTTCTCATAAAAAGGGCCCCAAACCAGAAAAAACAAGAAAAAAACAAAAACCAGGGTCTAGGAGACAGATGATGGAGGTCACCCTTCTTCTGGAAAACCCGGTTTTTTGTTTCTTCTGGTTTTGCTGGTCGTCTAGGGGACAGGTGATGGAGGGCAACCTTCTTCTGGAGGACAGTTTTTCTTGTTTGGGGCCCTTCTTCCAAAGATCTTGTTGTTTTCCTCTTCCACAAGACCTTGTTTTCTCTCCTCTTCCACAAGACCTTGTTTTTACTCCTCTTCCAGAAGACCTTTTTTCTTTGATTTTTCAGATTTGACTTCTGTTGTTCATCTTTTGTTGGCTTGGGGGGGTCCCGGCGTACCGTGTGTACATGTATTTTCTAGGGTGCATCCATGTACAGGGACAGGGTTGGGTTCCCTGCCTGCTTGAAACCATGAAGAAAGACCCAAGTGGTCGCCCAGGTGCTGGTGCTTCACATCCCTTTGTCTGTGAATGACCAGCTCCGACCACATCGCGGCTTCACCTTGTGCCTCGGAAAGTCAGGGCCCCTTTTCCCGGACACAAACATGGGTTTCTCAAAGAAAGGTCCCCTTTTTGGATGTTGTTGGAGATTTTCTTCAGGACATTTTAGAATGTTTCCGAAGTTTGAGGAACACCTCTGAATGGTGCCGCACATGGGATTGTCAAAATTTGGGTTCCTGTTTGATATCTCCTTTCTTGGTGCAGCACGTAGCGGCGGCATCAAGGTCCAAAAAGGGGGCCATTTGTTCACAAACTCCCCATGATTCTGGCTTAATGCGGCTTTCGCACGTGGGCACCAAAATCAGTGGGGATGAATGTGTTTTGCAGGGGTAGTGTCAGCTCAGATTGCAAAAACGGTTTGGGATCAATCAGGGTGGCTTGACTGGAATTGGTGGATGCTTCCATTTTTGGGTAACCCTTGGATGGTTACCCGGGTGAAGCCACAGTGGACATCATTCAGCAAAGTCAGCATGCAGTTCACATGCGTGAAATTTTGGCATAGTCTAAAGTACGTGGCCCAACGCCGTCTTGAAACACCTTTTGGCATTGCCTGTTTGAAGGGGAGGCTTAGGACAGAGTCTCTTGTTTCATTGACGAGAACAGCACTGGAACCAGTCAGAAATTTGTAGGAAGCCTGGATGCTACGGAGCCCTTTTAGCGCTGAAAAGGTTGGGCAGAGGCAACGTTTCATGCTGGCCTTATGGGCCGCAGGTATGCCCTCTCCCGACCTACTGGCGTTGTTGCGAGCCATTCAACCTGGGGTAAAACTAGGTCACGCCGCCAGCAAAGTGTTTGTATAAAAATGTGCGTATTGCTCCGCGCCGTTAGTGGGCGGCGTGAGCTAAAACTAGTTTGCCATGATGTAGGTCCTTTACTTGGAGTTCCAACTGTTACTTCAGGTTTTTTAACTGTTGTGGCATCAATTTGCAGATCCATAATCAAATCAGGTGCACACTTGCCGCGTTTCCTGCACTCGTGTGTTCACCCGATATCTACTAGGTGCGCCGTTCATCTGAAAGCTTTTGGATCCGCTGGTAGGTGTGGTGATCCCTCCTGGGGTGAGGCAGGCTCTGAATCCTGGTTGCGCATGGTTTTTGTGCGTTGTCGCTTGGGGGCACCCTTAGTTGGTTTAGTCAACCAGGACCTCCCAACCAATTGTTTTATATTCTTATGCCACCCACCTCGCCTGAAGAAGGGTCCAAACAACAAGCCAGAACCCATTCACCAATCCCCGGCTCAAAGTAGCCCCCACTTTGACGTATAGGTTTGTGGACAGGGCAAGGGGTTGGTCGAGATTCAAGATTGCTTATGGGAGTAACCTCCCATTTCTTTTCAGGGATTTGTCTTTCCAGACAGTGACGGGCAGGCATCTGAAAAGAACGATGCTTGCTAAGAAGGTGGCATCAACATAATATTTGTAGATGGCTGTGTTGCTGAATGTGAGTGAGTTTCCTTTGGACTCCTTTGGGCTTCGTGTTTAGTCCATCCTCCTTGGTTTCAGATGGGCAAGCCTGTGTCATGTCCCCACCTCTCTCTGCAGTTGGCACCTGGCGTGTCAAAGTTGGGGTCTTGGACGATGTTTGATGGTTTGGGAGTTAGCTAAGTGGTTAGTAACCCTCAGTTAACCCCAGCGAAGCCTCCGGTACAGCCTTAGTAGGATTGCCAATTATTTAGCCAAGCCCCAGACCATCTAAGCAAGCCTCATCAAGAAGTGCCACGCGCCCAGATTGAAGGAGCCGACAAATTTGCGTGATCTTGGGAGTTGTCAAGGAGATGCTATGCTATGACCATGATCGGAACCCCAGACCTGCACACATGAACGCCTATTTTGTGAACCAGTGGTTTCTACGTAAGCTCAACCAAGAAAAGATTCACAACTCCACCCCGAAGCAATGTACGAGGTGAACCTTCCCCATACTCCCAGAAATACTTCCCATGCATCGTCCCGGGTGCCGGGAAGTGTGTGAGCAGAGGCCATGTTTCTTTTCAGGTGTGAAGGATTCTCAGCCAAATCCCCCACGGAGCATGGCCAACTGCGCCTGCGCAGAGCACCGACCGGTCCTGGCGCGATGAGCAGCGCAAACCCTGGCCCAAGGACGCCCGGGCCGAGAAATCGCGCGGAAGCTATGACAACATGTGTGTTCCTTGGGAAAACAACACATTTCAGGTTTTGAAGTAGCATCTTTCGGCCTTTTGGAGTCCCATCTTTCAGGTTTTCGAAGTTGCAGGTGAGGTACCAACTTGCCAGACCCGATGCTACCCACTCGGAACCCAGCAACTTCTACAGCCCCTGGTTGGCGTGATCCCATTTCAGCGTGGCTGAGAGGGTCCTGTTTTCAACCAGTTTTAGGGCTGATTCATGGTGGACATTGCAAGTGCGCAGCCGGTATGCACCCTTTTCGACCTCCCTGAGGTGGTACCTCCAATTGTCACTGTGGGCCCCCCCACGTCCAATACTTTAGAAAACAAGGGATGCCTCAACTGTGGCTTCGATGGGCCGTCATCATACAGACATTTGTGTCCGGACCTGGGGGGCCAGGTAGCCGGTGGCATAGCTGCTGTCTTCCTAAGCTGTCACTCCCAAACTACAGCCCCAACAGCGTCAACCAAACTTCATTCCCCGGAGCTCTGGTAGGAGCAAACCCGCCCGCCCGGAGCCCGCCAATCCGTCTCTGTGACCTCCACGGAACCTAGAGCATGTGTGCGCGGCTGGCATAGGTGTCCTTTTTGGTTGCTTTGGAAAATAGATGGCCCTGGTAGACAAGGATCTGTCATTTGCTTAGGAATATGTTTTTATTCCCCTGTTGGTTTTAAAGGGAATCTGTCGCCACTGAAGGTAGTTCCCTTTTTTTCCTGGGGACTCAAGCAAATGGAAGACGGTGGTTTCACAATCTACCAAGGCCATCTGTTTTTCTCAAAGCACACCTACGGCTGCTGGGGCAACTGGCTATCTCGGTGGCCTTTGAAGCCACTTCCATCGCGCAACTGAGCCGATTGCCCAGGAGGGCAATGACCGCCCCACACAGCTCTTCCTCGAGGTCAGGAATCGACTGCAGCGGAAATAACTACCCTGTTGGGCAACCTGCCCCAACCATAAATGAAATTCAACCTTGTGGAACCAGCCCAAACATATGATATATATATATATATATATATGTGTAGATGTGTGTGTGTGTGTCCGTGTGGCCTACTCCTTGTAATAGCTTCAGCATGTGATTGGTGGATCGACCGATGGCTTCAGTGGCATTCGGAGGGGCATGGTTTTAAGATCATGGACAATTCAATGTGTCATGTTTGACTTTGGGCTACTACCTGATGTGCTCCATTCGTTCTTAGAATGGCTGGTCCGCAGGTGGAACATGTGACGACTCGTTTGCCAGTTTGTTTTGCTTGGGTCATTGGCCGCTTGTGACTCTGCTTTGTCAACAGCGGCGACATGCAGACTACCACAGCTACCACCAACCTGATCCTAAGCAAAAAACGAGGGCGGGCTGACTAAATAGTGTCGCAACAGAGCCGTTTACTTTGGCAATCCCCCCCTTCCAGTTCCATTCCCTTGCTGTCCTTTCAAGATGACTCCATGGTTGATGCATTCTAGAACAGAAGGCTCTTCTTGGTGGTTTCCGTTTAAAACCACCAAGGGGGTTTGAGATTAAGACAGGGCCAAAAGCGGGCTGTGAGCCGGGCGGTTTGGGCACGCGCGGATGGGTCAAGCTTGGCTTTCTGGTTGGTTTTCGGGTTGGTTTTCTGGTTGGTGTCTCTTTATCAACGGCCAAAAACGGTGTGCCCTTCAAACAAAGACTTGGGGTCCTGGGTTGGTCTACCGGCCAGGCCGTGATGGCCGCGGCCGCGCCAAAGGGGCCGCTGGTGGCCCGGGGTCCCACGGGCTCCGGCCCCGCTCGCTGGTTTACAGCGGTTTTATGCCCCCGTCGATTGCAGGGCCGTCGATGGGACCAGAAGGACACCTATGGTTGGCAACCGAATAATTAGCGAGACTGGATGTCAAAGAAATGCTGCTTTCAAACACCTCGGCATAAACTCTCATTAAAGCGGAGTTTCTGATAGGTTGAAAAGAGAAAATATTGGATGTTTGTCTGAGGCTCGATCACATGAGCTGATGGAAGTAATTCGCGGCCTGTGCGTTTTTGAGGCGCGCTATGAAGTCTTGGAAGGATTGATGCCATGCGAGTCGTGCTCCTGCCTATAATGTTTGTTTGTTTGATTGTCCCGCGGCAGGTGGAGGTTGATTCAGCAAGGGTTTGCAGAGCGACCCTGCAATTTGCAGGGCGCATTGCGTTGCCGCATTCACCTTTTGTGTGTGGCCCCCCGCTTGCAAGGTGTCATGTTCTGGCGGCTGCTGCTCATGAAAACAGCTGGTGAGAGTGAGAGGCCCCAAATTCCATATGGGGTAGTTCCTATAATCCCACAGTTTGGAGTACTTGTGAGGATGCTATTTGAGCGAACCCAGTATAATCCTAGACTTCCCTTCGTACCGCAACTGGGCAAGGCGGTATTGGCCGGCCACACTCATGGCCACGACGCCACAGAGGTCGGCGACAGTAGCGCTGTTCAGTGCGCATGGGCTGGAATTTGGGCTTCCATTCTCCCAACATGGCCGACCACATACTTGACGATGCATTGCACAAGTCGGAGCAGCATTTGGGGTCCATGCAACTTGTCCAGGGTGTTTGCCTGCAGAGGTTTGTTTTGATGGTCCCTCAATGCGATTGTCAGTGCCTCCTTTGTGTCTGCAAGGCTGCCCTGAGACAAATCAACCTGTGATACCCTGTCGGCTCGTCACAAGGTTGCGCTTGACCTAAGGTAGCCTTTGCCAGTCGCAGCCACTCAACGAGAATGGGAAAGCACATGCTTTCCCAAAGGCCACCCTCACCCCACACGTTGGCCGAACAATGGCATGTGGGCCGCGTCTTGATGATTATCTGTGCAGGTACATCAGCACTCCAGCTACACATGGAGGCCATCGCTTTCTGAACGCTGGGTGCCCAGGGTGTGGAAGTGACACGCACGTCCAACGGTGCAGCAGCTAAAGGATCCAGCTGGCACAGTTGAAGGGCCACCTTTCCTGGCTAGAGGATCCAATTTAATAATAGTTACTTCACTGTTCTTGGCATGTTTTTTAGTTTTTTAGTTGTTTGGTTCTGTTCATTTTTACTGGGGGTCTGCAAAAAACAAAGTTTTTTGCTACCATACCAAGATTAGAGATGAATTCCTTGTGAAAAAATTGGTGGCTTTCCCCACAAATCGAGTCAACCCCAAGAAGGGGTCTTTTTCTACCAGGATCAGCGCACTGGTGAGGGCCAGGGTCCTCCTGACCGCAAGCCCCAGGTGCGGAGCGTCCCCGCAGGCGCGAGCGACCAGTCGAAAAGTGGCTTCGTAACCTCCCCCCCCCCTGCAGGTCAGCAGGGAACCCAAGAAGAACCTCATCTTTAGGGGGAAATCCGCTTTTGGGGGCCCATGTTATGGTTTGAAGGGGGGAAGTATTTGCCCAAGAAAATGAAAAGGAAAGCCGTGCCGGGGAGCTGCACTGAAACATTGAGAAACGACGGCAAGGGTGCGAGACTCACTGCGAGCTCGCCGGTCGGGGTAAAATCGAACTCCAGACCCATGTTCCCATGTTCCCCGTGAGCTAGTCCAAATGGAGTTCGAAACTAGTGCGCAAGTTCTTCAACGAGCGTGGCTTGGCTATTGGCGACTGTTCAGTGGTTCTCAAAGTCATTTTTCTTGTGGGCGCTTTCCCATGCTCGGTGCAGTGCACCTAGAGACACCGACCAAAGTGGGAAAAGTAAGGAGAGGCGACCCCTTCCAGGGGTCTCCGCACATCAGATCTAAACAAGAAGCGGAATCTGAAAAGTCGGTTTTTGGTCGACTTGGGAGAAGTTTCAGGTGCGCAGGAGGCCCTTTCAGAGGACCTCGCTGTGAATGGCTCAGATTGGTGCGATGGTGGGGGGAATGAGCTGGAATGACCCCAATAAGCCATCCGTGGATGGCGTCCTTTAAGGGATTCCCCTTGCGGCGCATTCCCAACGATCAGAAGGTCATTCCCTACCTGTCGCACGAGCAAGAACATGGGTTTGGTAGATTTGGGGGGGGGAAGGTTCCCTGAGTAGTGGGGGCGTCCATGCCGAGCCTTGGAAGAGTTCCATCGGTTCGACCGAACAGGAGAAACCGGAGCCCTTTTTCTTGTTGGCGCACTGGGAGTCCAGGTGCTGCTTGTTTTCCCCTGTAATGTATGCGAAGTCCTTGGAATTGCTTGATGGATTCGGAGAGGCTCCTTGTTGCAACATGTTGGAACTGGCTTTCGGGCAGGAGTCATGGGCATTCCATGCTTGATTCAGGGTACCCTCTTACCAACCATCACGGGAGCCGAAGGCAAGCCTTTACAAGATGGCAGTCTTCCAAGCCCCATGGACAGTCCACTGCCACTGAAAGAGACGATTCTCCAAGGTGAGGGGAGGAGGGAAGGTGCCGAGGTGAGCGATTTCCTGCTTGGCCTTTCTTGGGCAGCTCTGGGAGCGTGGCCTGCTTCTCAGCTCCGGGAGCGTTGCGCATCTGAACTGGGTGGCTCCCCCCTGACGGAAATGTCTAGTCTTTTTCTTGGTGGTTCCCACCCTTACCTTCTTAGCCTTTTAGTGTTTAGTGGTAGTTTCCGTTTAACCCACTAAAAAGTTAAACTTTTAGCGGGGGATCTGAGGGCGGCCCAATTTTGTAGTTGTAGGTGTCAAAAGGGAGAAGCCATTTGTTTTCAAAAGGTCTATGAGGCTAAGGTCACACCAAAGACCACCCATGATGCCCTGCGCCGGAACGAACTTGGCTTGGGCGGCATTTGCGGGTCGCGGCCGCGGCTCCCCGTGAAATTCTCAACGCCAAGCCTCATTGGCCCATTCGTTGCGGTAGTAGTGCCCTTTTCGAGGGTTCCCCTACTAAAATAGACTACAGAAAACAATCAGGCACCCTTATTCAATCCTCTCTGGAGGACCTGGCATTGAACCTACGCCACCTTTTGGTTGTTGGGCCCGCTCCAATGGTTTTCATGGCTGCTGCACGTTGGTGCTCGGCCACGGCACAAGGCCAAGCGAGACGGAGATTGAAGTGGACCTCGTGTCGGGACCTTTTTCTCCTATGAGGTGGAGCCAGTCCCTATACGTCCGCTGTACAGGGGCTTGTGGGTTACCGAGTGGGTTTGCTGGTTGAAGCCAGCAGCCAGCAGCCGGCCCACCATTTTGATGCCAAACTGGGCCATTCCCCCGACTATGTTTTTGTCACTACGGCAGATATGCCCTGGATCGCAACCATGGCCTGTGAAACTGAAAATGTCCATTGCCTTGTGGTTCCAGAGGGGGAATGAGAATTTGAAGGGCTTCTCTAGCACAGAAACCGCTTTCCGCCAACCTCAAACTCAGTACCTTTACCCAAAAAAACGATGGTACTAAAGTCCCTGCCACCTGAAAAACCCGGCCTCTGTCGCACTCAAAGCACCCCATTTTGGGACCTGAGGTGGGGCTGCTGGGGCGGGCTCCGGGCGCTGGAGCGCAGGGCGCAGCGCATCAGCTCCAAGCTGGTGGCGGGGGCCCCCGTCGCCGACGCTTGGTGGGGGGCGTGGCGATTCTTCGGGGCAGGTTTTGGAGGGAAGTGCCTGCGGCTCAGAAAAGAGGTGCCAAAATGGCACCTTGGCACATGGAACCAAAGACTTCTAGGCTGAGCCACAGCCAAGTTGGTTACACGCAGGTTAGACTTTCTGTTCGTAAGTTTGTGGTCTTCTTTTTTCTCGGGGGGAGAGGATACGTTTATTTATGTCGCACCTTATTTTTTTGGAGGGTAACCAAGTTGGTTCCTGTATTTTTGCTGATTGTTGTTTTTGGGGAACACGCATGCTTATTTTGAGGCTTCTGTTTTGAGACTACCTAGGAACCCAATGTGGAACCTGAACAGGGGGGCCCCGTTAAAAGGACCATTGTCTTCCAGGGAACCCCATGCAGGTTCTATGCTTGTTTTTGGAAGGGTACCCTTTTGCTTTGGCGTTAAGGGAAACCAAAAGTACGCCACCCATTTTGGGGGGGTTCTTCCATTTAGCGAGTTCCTTGAAAATTAAGCTACCAGAGATTGGTTCAGTTTGGGGATATTTCCTCATTCCCAGATGACCAGCGCGGCGGTTTTCTCCCTTGGGTGTCTGGACTTCGGCACTTGTTGAGAAGAACATATCAGTGGCAAGCCAAAAGTTTGGACGTTGCCCGAGCTCAGGCAAGCTTTAGACCACCGCAGAAGTCTTTGCTTCATCGCCTGGGATGTATCCCCCCATCAAGAAAATAATTTGCAGAGCAAAAGGATGGTTGTCCATGGCGAAAGGTGTAGAGAGGGATGGAAATCTGAGGTCCCATAGAGGCTCGGGCCCTCCAGGTGGCTTTCAGCTCTTTGCGTGGACATTTTGGAGACAAAAAAGTGGGTGGTGTCCCTTTGCAACAGCACCTTAAGGATGACGCCCATCTGGCACGTGTCGGCACTTGTCCTGCGGGCCGACGCTCGGAAAACAAGCATGAAAGTGGTCAGCAAAGACAGCATGACAACAGTTGGTTGCCCTGTTGCAGTTGAAGTCGTGACCACCCCGAAAGTAGCGGGCAGACATGCCCCCAATGCAAAAAAAAAGAAGCAGGTCCACTGATTTGTCCAACCAGCTTAAAAACCATACCCTTACAAGGAGAGATTTGGTGGCATTTGTTCTTTTTGTGGCTGTTTTTGAACCACTGCACTTGGAGATTGGTGAGATAGCAAAAAAAAAACAGCACTTGTTCAGATCCGCGGCCTGGACGCCATGCTGGAGCGCACCCAGGAGGCGCGAGCGCGCTCGCTCGCGCGGGTAGTGGGACGCAGCAACCACTTGGCTTGCCGAAAGGGTGGCTTTTGCGTTGTCCACGCGAAGCCGATTTTTTGGGGCGCAGAGAAACCAAGCGGTGAAATGGAGGTGAAAACATCAAAAGCTTGTGCCCCGAAGGCTGTTTTTACTGGTGCATAGTAGCTGGCTCATTAAAGGAACACAATTTAGTGCACCCGTCATCAAAGCGTAGTACTTGGACCTGAAGATAGAAAAACCGAGGGCTGACCTCTGCGAAGGCGCACTAGCAGCTCCGAGTTCCAACAGAGGAACGAGCGCGCAGGGTCGAAATGGGGTCAAAGGGGCGGGCTTGACACTGGGCTCTAGGTCAGAAAGTAGGCTTCTCTCTCTAAATTGGCAGCGTGAGACGATTCAAAGAGGGCTCCCACAAGCAAGCATTGATCGTGCTTTGCAGCGGTAGGAAACCGATGTTGAACAAGGCTGAAGCTGCCAACAGCGCTTTGAGCGAGCTTTCCTTGCGTTCTACACGTCCGCTGAGCAAGGCTCCAAAGAGGTGCTCGGTCCCCTTTTGCGGTTTGGGGAGATCCTCAGTTTCCAAGCTAAGCGACCTATTCCTTTTGCTTGCCCAAAGATTGCAATGTCCAAGTCCATTTTCCACCAACCAGGCCACCCAACTGTCGAATTTGTCCAGGTCACTTCACAAAAACATTGACATTTGGGGGGGGGTGGCAAGGGCTGAGAGGAGGCTCCCACACCTGTCCATTCAAAACACCGGCTGTCTTTTTGGAAAAGCCCGGGGAGCGAAGCCCAGGCCATCCGCCATGGGCTTCTGCTGCTGGCGCGGGCGCTGAAGCCGCTGCTGGGCGGGGCCCTTGGGTTTTGATTGACGGGGTCACCCTCAGGGACTGGATGTCCTGGGAGGGCTCACGCAATTTGGTTGAGTTCCTGGACTTGTCCTTGTTGGGCTGCGAAAACATTTCAGTAGCAACAAAGTTTTGAACCGCACATCCACGCATGTGTCCTCAGTGGGCTACGGCAGTTTCAGTAAATACAAAGTTTCAACAGAGCAAAGGTTTCAGACCCATGCTTCC